GTTGAATTTTATTTGCATTTCATTACAATTCAACAATTTTTTGTTTGAACGTTATTATAATCACTACTGAGTAATAATTAACAATTGTGAAACGCAGCATGACTGGATTGCGCAACCGTGATCATTTGTTGCTCCGCAGTTGTGATCGTTTTTACTTTGTTTAGAATATAATTTCGTTACCAATAAAATTAGGAAAAAAAAGTTTATTTCACGTACCAGGTTCGTTAAAGTGATTTGTTGGAAAAAAAATTACCCTGGGTGACATTGTAAGTTTTAGGCGGTTAAATTAGCAGGTCACAGTGCATTCTACTTGTCTCAGTATTGACTGTCTCGTCGTACTTCAGACGGGACTTCACACTTTCCATTGTGACATGTAGATGCTAATAGGTGTTTTTGAAGACAATGGCACAGTATTGTAAGTGAATTTAAAAGCTCTATGAACTTTGTATGCGGGACAATGGCATCGCAAACGCACACAATGCCTTTAGACCTATCGTAATACGACCAAGACGCGTGCTTACCGGATGCGTACCAAGGACTCACCAGTTGAAAAATTCATGCCTCCCACATAAAAACTATGCTTCCCGGACGCGGAATTCCGCGTTAACGCAATCCCTGATTTAAGAACTTGACGATCATATTAACACAACACAAAGATTTATTTAACATTTAAATACTAGTTACGTACTTGTTATATTATTTTTATATCCATTTTATTTTAAAACTTTCTTGCTGTACTTATCCTATGTAAATCTTTTTACACCGAGGCAAGTTATTATTATTAAAATAAGTATACATGTCCCCAACATTATAATACTGTGGCATGAACAAATGCACTATTCATTCATTACTGACTTGCACAATCCCCCAAATGCTCAACTGAATTTCCACCAAAGAACACCAAATTGTAGACTGGCACTGTCGTGGCAATTTTATCGTTTCATATGATCATTCCTTTAGAATGTTGTAGAATCTTCTGCGTTGACGCAAAATTACGACTGGTCTGTTCTGCCACGTCCTCTATAGTTGTCGCCACGTTTTGTGGTGATGAATATGCTAATGAGTACCGTACATCAATTGTAAGTTGCCAACCAATAAGAAAGGCCGCTTTTGGTTCGATCTGTGATCTACATAACTATAATGCACACGTAGACTGATGCTTAGAATCTTTCTTGATGAGGATGGTTGAAGCAAAGTTCAGGTGACTTGAACATTTCATGAAAGTTTTCTTTTTTTCAAAACTTGCATGGTCACCACTGGATTTGTTGGTTTACAGAAAACATGCAGTTTTACTTCACTGCTTGGGTATTGAGACAGTGAATTGTCTAGGCCCTTGGTATTTGTCCTATGTACGAAGATGCTATATTATTTCGACAAAAAATGTGACAAGTCCATGGCAACTTTAATATCATGTCAAATAAAATGATTAGAGATCAGCTAATGAAAAAAAAGTACCTTATCCCAAGCTAGAAAAAACTTACATATAATGGCACCTGACTAATCACAGATAAACCATAAAAGGAGAAATTTATGTTTGAAATCAAATCATCCAATTTTTGCGGCAGACTTTTGAACCATGTTTTTCAGGCATTATGCAAGATTTCGCACTTGAGGGGAAAATCATCTATTAAGCTGTATCTACGAAAATTGAAAATAATGACTTCATGATGCACAGCCAAGTAGAACTCAAGCTGTTAGTTAATGACCAGTTTGTGATTTTGCAGTGTCTTTATCGGTCGGCATATGACATGTCAGTGTTCTCCACGAGGGGTTTTAGCAGGGCACAGCGCCCTGCATAAGAAATCATGCGCCCTGCATAGGTAGTCCTGCGCCCTGCATCGGTCAACAAGCGCCCTGCATTCACATTTCCCGCCCCGATCAAATACATTGTATTGTTAGTTGAGTATTCAGTGCTCTCCACGAGGGGTTTTAGCAGGGTGCAGCGCCCTGCATAAGAAATCATGCGCCCTGCATAGGTAGTCCTGCGCCCTGCATCGGTCAACAAGCGCCCTGCATTCACATTTCCCGCCCCGATCAAATACATTGTATTGTTAGTTGAGTATTCAGTGCTCTCCACGAGGGGTTTAAGAGGGGCGAAGCGCCCCTCTGTAATTTATTTGCGCCCCTTTTCAATTTGTAGCGCCCCTCTATTTATCTTCAGCACCCTCCTTTGTTTTCGGTGACAGGCTGTTTCACAGTCCCGGAAGATGTCCGGACGATGTTATTGAGAGACCTCTTATTAATTGACAAGTGATAAAACAAAGAACTAAGAGACAGATAGTGGCATAGGTGACAACTAGGACAATGGATTTGATGTCTGGGGAAAAACTGGCTGAAAAAATAAACAAAAAACAATGAATGGATGCGTGAAGTGATTGTCACAAGCATTGCGTTAATCACATCACGCAATGGGATAGTCAAAACAAGTTTTCTCATCATTCCTGAATTAGCTTAGATACTTGAGAACAGGAAAACCAGCAACAATTTATTGGTCCAATTGCTTGTTACTTGCCTTTTATTGGCGAAAAGTAAAAAGAATCATCAAATAAATCACCAAAACAAAACGTACGGTAAACACTGAAACAACATGGATGTCACGTATCTGATTTGACCTTTGTTCTCAGTACCCACAATACAATCAACATATAATGATTAATTTATTTTCAGTCATCGGATTCGATTTTTTTCTTTCTTTTAAATGGTAATTTTGTTATGTGAAAATATTTTTCTTATTACTTGGGGTTTTCAACTATTACAATATCTCAGTGCATTTATAAAACCTATGGAAATATTTGAAAGAAATTTAAAAGAAATAAATGAAAGGCTAGAATTTCACAACTTGTTCCATTACAGAGAATAAAATTGATATTCTTCATTTGTCAAAGTTGATATTTTTTTTTTTTACACATCAAGTGGTTTAACTTGTTCATCAAAATAATTCAAGAACATTAATATAGTACTTGTACACAGTATTTAATTGATGTAAATATAAAAGTGCTAACAATTTCCTTTGAAATGTTTGATTAGTATGCTAATGCAAATTAAATATGCTAATTATATGCAAATTATATGCAAATTAGTGCCCCTCTTTAAATTTTATTTGTGGAGAACACTGCATGTAGTTAATGGTAACAGTGAGGGCTTAGTCATCTTGCGATTAATTTTTTTTTTCTTACTTGCAGGTACTTTAACAAATGGAAATGAGTTTGATTCATCAAGAAAAAGAGGAAAGCCTTTTAAATTTAAAATTGGCCAAGGTCAGGTAATAAGAGGCTGGGATGAAGGAGTCGCACAGGTGTGTATAAAAATGTACATTGCAGAAATAGTGGTGGTCTCACCATTTTAAGCAGTAAAAAAGTGTTTCCTCTAAAAATTAAGAATCCCGGACTGTTGTTTAATCCCCATGGTCCTGGGGGGGGGGGGAGATAAGTGGCGACTCTGAACTTCTAGTAGATCTGTATTTCTGACATGTTCCGAGTACTATGAAGTCAATATACCTCGGCTATTCACGATACCCTTAGTTTTCACAAGTTTAAAAAAAAAATCTGCCCGACCGACCCAAATTTTTCAATTTACTGACTTGAGGGCAACATAAGTTTTTTTCTTGTTGGCCTAATGACGTCTTTGAACCAAAATAATAAGTGCAAATGATCTACTGTAAAATGATTAATTTTCACTGGGTTTAAATTTCGCTTATATTCAGAGTCAGATTGTTTAAAGAAAATAAACATTTACTATTACTAAACTCTTATAATCAATCAGTATTGTCTTAAAATTACTTTTCAGACACAGGAAGCAACACTCTAGAAGTCTGCACATTTTGTTCTACATGTATATGTCTGTTGAATTTCCTTTTCAAGGAAACTGTATTGCATAGATTAGATTGCAATCTTGTTGGGAAAAATGGGGTTTCTCTAGTTTCTTCCCTTCCTTCATATAGTGTAAAGTTTCCCCTATGAGGGGTTTCCACTAGCCTCAGAGTTGAAAACCCGATGAACATTATTAGCTTCTGTGTGCGTGCAAAGCATGCAAGGGAGATGGGTTTGGTGTGTCTGTGTAAGCAACATCTCACGATTCTAGGTTTTGATGAAATATTCTGACTAGGAATAATGTGTAGACAGGATTAGTTTGGGACCATGTCTGGTAATTTGCATATTATCTAGTTTCAGCCTGTGTAAGCACAATCAGAACAGATTTAGATAAAATGGTAATATTTTGATAATGGTAAAATGTACCTTGCAGTTATGTACAGACTTGGATTATATTTGAACACATAGTTTAAGAATTAGCTAATTTTCAGACAAATTAGGTACCTTATACATGTAACACAGTCCCTCTATAGACCGGTCTGGAAACGGCTATTGTTCAAAAATGTATCCTGTTTTCTGTTTGTCAACGATTTCATTCTGTCGAAGCTATTTTTTTCTGATTTGTTCATCGCTATTGAAACATATCAGTAATATATTTGAGGCCGCAGCTTTAATAGAAGCCGCACCCCTAACTTGAGACATTGTTTCATGTTGAAATTGTCAAGTTTTGGTCCCAGGAAAAAGCCTGCAATATAAGCCGCACCCCAAACTTTCACAAACCAAACAGCCACCACATATTTCAAAAAAGATATACCATTTCATTGTCACCTCTTTGTAAAGAGTTACACTCTATGTGCCCCAATTATTAGTCCCAGTTCGGACAAAGTCCGAAAACGGGACTTATAATTCGGTCTCCGTCCGTCCGTCCGTCCGTTCGTCCGTCCGTTCGTCCGTCCAGAGTCATATCTCAGAATCCCTTGGACCAATTCCGTTCATTCTTTGCATGTGCCTAGTACCTTATGTGGGACATATGCACATGCAGTGGTTTAGCGATTCGATTCAAAATAACCGACTGGCAGCCATCTTGTTTTTTGAAAATGTTGTATTTTGGACATGCTTTGTCAGTTGTCATTCAAACTCCATGACGATTTATTTCGCAATTGGATCAAAGATGGTCGACTGGCAGGCATCTTGTTTTTGTTTTTTTATGCGGTATCTTGGACGTGCTCTGTCAGTTTTCATTCAAATTTGGCATGTACTTTATACATGTTAGGATGTATGTCCATGACAATTTGTTTCAAAATCTGGTCAAGGATGGCCGATTGACAGCCATCTGACTTTTTGGCCTTACTACTATATTTCCACAATTTATGTACCATTTTCATTCGTATTTGGCACATACATCATACATATCAGTGTGTTTCATAATCACATCAAAGATGGCTGAATAACAGCTGTTTTTATTTTGGCCATATTACTATAACACGAAACCGCGTTTTGATGTAAATAAACAATCTGTTGTATACGCCACTTGAAACTCAAGTTTCAAGGACACGCTCGCGACAACCCCTCCGCTTTAATATGACGAGCACAAAGAGAACTTAACGGGGACTGTGTCATTTTCAATGACTTGTTTGTTATATGTTGAAATATTGAAATTGGTCGGATACTCTAATATTGTGTTTGAGACTGTTTTGTCGCGTTTTTTCCGACGATACATTTCGATCATTTGTGTTGATTTCGAAAGGTTTGACGTCACCGGTCGATCCACGATTTCATGACTACTAATCAACTCTATATCAGGATTAGTAATGTAAGTCGAATGTCGAACTGGTCAGTCGAAGAAACTTGATTACTGATATCTGTTTGGAGAGAATCCTATTTCTTCCCACCAGTTATTTCCCGCGTTGAGTCCAAATCGTTTTGGTTGCTGGGTCTATTGTTGCGATATTCATACATGCGAATAGCGTGAACATAAAGCGATCATTTCTCAGTCTTCTTCGACTAACAAGTTCGCGATTTTTTGCTCTTCGAAATCTTGATTAATCGATCGTCATTGCCTTCTTCCCGAGCGTTAAAAACACACAGGGATTGATTGACCTTTCCATTTGTTTATTGACCTTTTCGTGATATGATTTGTTGTGGCCGCAAAACATCATTTTTTTTTACTAATTGAGAACACGAGCAGACAATTCAGCAGATTAGCTAATATTTGCACAACAATAAAACAGTGTCAACACAGTTGTGACAACGTAGCTACAGATTGGTGCTGGTTGTTTGTTTTAATTTTATGAGGTATAATTTTTCCAATTTTTTACAAATGTGTATTGAACTAGCCAGGCTAGTCGAATTTTAAAAATAATTTTATCTGCATTTCTATGAAGAATGAAGTTTTGTTTCAATTATTTGATGTAACCAGCATTCTCAGTGAGTTTTCACATGAGCTGTAAAATTTTATGGCAGTCCTTGTGAGCAATTGTCATAGAATAGTCGCCCAACCTTTTATTAGATTGAGTAGTTGTGACATAAACAATGTTCCATTTTCTGTCGATTCATTATTAGTCCCCGTTCGAACGTAGTCCGAAAACGGGGACTTATGTTTTGCCCTGTGTGCGTCCGTGTGTGCGTCCCTGATCACTTGTATCTCGAACATGCATGGACCGATTAAGTTCAAACTTCACTCATACATCACACATTATATGGGACATATGCACATGCATTTTTTTCATGATCCGATTAACGATAGCCAAACAGTGGGTATTTTACAGCCGAAAATGCCTCAAAATCGCACATTTTCACCATTCCGGACCCGGATCTCAGTTATGCATGGAGGGATTTTGTTCAAATTTGGTACATACATTAAACATAATAGGACCTTGATGCACGTAATTTTTTTTTTTTGGATCGGGTTTGAAATTGCCGACTGGCGGCCATTTTTTTTAAAGAATTCAGTTCTGCATCCGTATCCGAGACATGCCTAGATTGATCAAGTTTAAACTTCACACACACAAGGTACATCATGTCAAAAATATGTGCGTGCATTTGTTTCATGATCTCATTAATTAACGATAGCCAAATGGCGGCCACTTTAAGGCCGAAAATGCATTTTCACCATTCCGGACCCGGATCTCAGTTATGCATGGAATGGATTTTGTTCAGATTTAGTACAGTGTGTTCTACATATGCAGGTGCATTTCGGATCAGACCACTGAAAGTGGTCTGAGATTTCGGTCATGATCTGCTTTGAATGTATATGTCTCTCAAATAAAAACGAAATGGGGACGTGTCATTGACAATGACTTGTTTCTTTTGATTGTGTACCGTACGCAATGAATAACAGTAGTCTTTTTAGCAAAACAAAACTATTAGCAGATTGCATGTAAACTTGGACACAATAAAAATTCTAGCTGAATTTATAACGTTCAGTCAATTTGCATTGTGAAACAGCATGGAAATAATAATACCTTCTCTCCTTTTTTTGCAAAGCCATTGGTCTATTTTTAGCTCCGCTGTCGACTTTGTCGAGCGGAGCTTATCATATGAGTGATTGTCCGTCGTCGTCCGTGTCAATGTTTTACTTCTTCGACTTCTTCTTGAAAACTACAAGCCTGAATGCTTTGATACTTGGTGTATATGTACCTTGGGTAGACCTCTCTCAGCTTTGTTCATTTCATGATCATATCTTCAATTCTCTAATTTTGGTGAAAATTTTTGTCCAATTCCAATTGCCTTGATATTATTACATATATACGTACTACATGTGGACCTCTCTCAGATTTGTTCATTTTGTAATGATATCTTTAGTTCTCTAATTTTAATGAATATTTTTGTCATTTTTGGTAAAAAGTGATATTTTCAACTTCTTGTTAAAAAACCCGCAAGTCCAATTGCTTTGATATTACATATATAGGTACTACATGTGGACCTCTCTCAGATTTGTTCATTTTGTAATGATATCTTTAACTCTCTAATTTTGGTGAATATTTTTGTCATTTTTGGTAAAAAGTGATATTTTCGACTTCTTGTTAAAAACCACAAGTCCAATTGCTTTGATATTATATATATAGGTACTACATGTGGACCACTCTCAAATTTGTTCATTTTGTAATGATATCGTCAATTCTTTAATTTTGGTGAATATTTTTGTCATTTTTGGTAAAAAGTGATATTTTCTTGTTAAAAACCACAATCATTCATGGTGAAAAATTATATTTTTGAATTCTTGTTGAAAACAGCAAGTTGCATTGATACTATGCATATTGTTCATTTTCTAATGATATCTTCTGTTCTTTAATTGAAATGTGCATTGCTAACAGCGGAGCTATCTCAGCCGAGAGGCTGCTTGTTCTAATTTACAAATTCATTATGGAATTTTAACCAAATTTTATGCCTTTGGTAAAATCCACTGTTATGCTGTTGAGATTAGTTTGGTCATAATTAAACATCTTTTAAAATTTTAGAATCATGTAATTGATTCCAACGAAATTGTTAAAATACATTTGTTGGCATGATCCATTCACCTGGGCATGTAAATGTGAAAAGTCTTTGCTTATGTAAAAATACAATTAAATGTGCTATGAGTTTCTATTACTAATACTATGTATACAAGTATGCCTGTACTTGTTTGGTCATCAATGTGCTGAACAACTGATGGCTGATGATTGTAACCTCTAATGCTATTGCTCCTTCACTGACTGCTGTGAATTTCCTAGATACATTTTTTATAAAACAGTGATTGCATATATTCTGTATTTAAATGGGAGCTTTGAAAAAGCCGCATGCAATTTTAGCGAATTGTGGTAAAACAACGTAATAGCGAAATGTTGATTTAGCGAATCTCTCTTGTCATTGTTGATTTCTTTGTTTGGCGGCCATTTCGAATTGATAATAAAGTCATTAGCGACATCTGGAATTAGCGAATCAGTTCTCGCTAAATTCGTGAAAAAGACGTGCTCGCGAAAAAGACACGTTTTACAGTACTTTGATTTTATGCACTTGAAATTGGTTGTCATTATTTGTTTGTTACTGTAGATTGCACAACAACATAGACAAAATGAAAATTTGTCCAACATTATTTTCCACTACAAGCTATAATGATTTAAATTAGAGTTAGTCAACACTGACAGTCTGACACTTCAGAGCAATATAATCCCCAGAGTGTCATTCACATGCTATTTATGATATCACAGGGATTGAAATGGAATTTTTTCCCTGCATGCACAGTGTGCATGTTGAATTTAAAATTTACCTGCACTAACTTGTAAAATGCACCACTTTGATTAAGATTACGGGTTCTCGATTGATACGATCACGAAAGAATTTGCTTTTTTTTGAGTTGTCTTACAATGTTGGTTGAACTTAATTTAGGCTTAGTGAATATAATGAGAAAATGTTAATTTCTACATGCACAGCATGCACATTATATTTTGAGTTTACTTACACTAGCTAATAATCTATGTGCAGTTTGCACCAGAGTATTTTGACCCCTGTATCAATACAAGGGTCACATCCATTTGCTTCCACCACTCCAATTGCATTTTTTTGAAAAATTGACATTTTTGGAATAATTTAACCATAAAAATAAATTTCAAAATCCCTTTGCCTATGTAACAAAATAAAAATTTTAAATCATAAAACCTCATCACCATAAGAACCAATGGTGAATTTCCTAAAAAATAAACATTTTTATGTAAAAGATAACAAAAGTTGATTTTGTCATTCAAAGAGTTAACCCCACTGATTCTTGAACTATTTTACTGGGGTTCTTCAGTCAAAGTCAAAATGACTTTTGCGCAATTTTGTTCTCAGGAATGCACTTGAATTGAGAGAATTCTGAGCACCAAATTCAAATTTATATTATAGTGTTATGGATAGGAATGTGGATGTTGATATGTAAATTCAATTTTTTTTTCCACAGATGAGTGTTGGTGAAAGAGCAAAATTAACATGCTCTCCTGATTACGCTTATGGAAGTCGAGGGCATCCAGGAGTATATCCTTTTATAATAACAAGGTCTATGTGATATTTGGATTGTAGTTAATTAAAATAATTATTACTAAGAATTTATATGATTAAAGAGCAGTGGTCGTTGTGCTGCGCATGTTTAAATTTCATGTAAGCAATGTATTTTACACATGCTGTATAAGTCGCTATGAAGCCCATATCGAACAAGACATGGCGCGACGACCACCGCTCTTTAAGTTATGCAAATTTTGATATGTGTATGGTGATATTCGCTGAAGATGTCTCAAGTTCTGTGTGCGTGTCACTATTTTAATTGTAGAATGTAGTGGATGCTAGGATTAATAAGAATGCACAAAAAATGCGATTTAAGAATAAGAACAACAGACACAACCAATTCTTTCAAAGAATCATTTGCATTTTCTAGAAATGTACTAGTATGCATGATTTTGTGATCATCTCGTAATTGTCACGACTTCAATTTGCACTAACTCTGGACCACGCTGCTTGCATACCCCATTAATCCTTGCTATTAAATATGCTGCGATATTATGTTAATTATATACTGGTGAGAGCAATGGTCAGAGAATTAGACAATGAGATTTAGTTTTGAAGTTTTCTGCAGAGTAAAACTGTAAATAATTAATTTCGGTGTCATTTTTTTAAAATTTCAATCTTTTCTTGCGACAATGAGCTGTTATCTCCATAAAATGTGTGAAATGCTTCCTCTAAGCTCTGTTTATCTTTCATAAATTAATAATTTCCTGATTAAGAAAAAAAAATGTGCTGTTTTTCCACCAAAATAATGCCAAAAGTTTGCATTGCAACTTTGGTCAAGCTTTTGTGTTGCATTCACAATTCATATTTAAATGAGCTATAGTAATTAACAGTGTTGGCAATAACCAACTTTCTGATTGGTTGATGGTCAGTTTGACTTATCAGGTCAGAGAACAGTTTCAAGTCAACTAGTGTGTGTGAAAAAAAAATGAAAAAATGCATTTCTTGTTGAATCAAATGTGTATGTCATACAATATGTAATTGTACATGTATCTATGGGTCTTAATTACAGTTTGGGAAAAAAATTGTGCAGGTTCTTTTTCATAAAAGGAGAGTGCCACTCAATTAATTATTCTCAGATTTATTATCAATTATTACCGTAAAAACTCCAAAATTTCGACCCTTCTAAAAATTCGGCCGCCTGGTTATTTGCTGAGTTTTGGTATTTTGTTTACCTCCAAATTGCCGACTCAAGTTTCAAATAAAAACGTATTCACGTACTCTATTGCTTTCAATGTATTTTTTTGTCAACTGTTTACCTTAACAGCTACGCACTATCCCACCCAATGCGACACTAATATTTGACGTTGAACTGATCGGGCTTGAATAAGAAGACTGAACGTTTTTCGCTATCGGTGTTACCATTGTAATCATCTGAGCGATGGATGTAGCTGATTTGTTATTGAAGATATCCATAGCTGTAGACCTTTGTACATTATATAGACTAAACCCAAAAGAATTCTACTTGCTGGATTTACACTCTCTCAAGGTCATCTCAAATTGCAAAGAACTGTTTTTCTCATACATTTGTCTACAAAATCTTGTCTTGTGATTGAACTTGTATTACTTAGATTAAAGTTTCACTTCAATAATTTAAAACTAATATATATATCTACACATTTTCGGTCGTTGAAACGTATATGATAGAGTATTCACTCTGAGCTATTTTTTTTTATTTTTTTTAAATGAGGTTAATATAAGCACATCATAAAATTGAGTTTTATCATGCATTTTCACTAATATTTGTCATTTTGTAAATGAAAATTAGAGAAGCTATGTACAATATTGTGCAGTTCTGAAATGTTTTAATGTTATTGGCACTAGAACTGTCAATCTGTCAATGTCAATTGTTAATTTCGCAAAATCACACTATAGGAGTAATTTTCTATTAAGAGATGCATGTATTAGCAAGAATAAAGGGTGGTCATAACCCAGAACTTCCATTATGTGTTGCAGATGTAAGGGTTGGTTGGACAGACAGACAGACAGACAGACAGACAGACAGACACGCACGCACACGCACACACACACACATGTACGCGCACACACAGCCGTCTTTACTGCATTCATCAAATGAATGTAGTTGCTCGATTTGTTATGAATGAGTTGAATGTTGTACTTGTGCATTTAAAATTAATTTAATTGGTGAGCTGATTGAACAGGTGATTTTTAATGTACAACCCGCTTCAGTTTTTAGAAGATTTTCAGAAAAGCTAACTAAAAATTCACTTTGTGATTGGCTTCCGTTCGGAGTATAAATGTCAGATGTATTCAAGTCAATTTCTTTGAGAAAGAGAAACTGTAAAGCAAAAACACTTAACTGTTGGTGCCAGATAGATCAGTCCTAAATTTTGACAAGTGTGCATTAAACCTTGTTGCATAGTTGATCTATCGACTAGAAGTTAAATACCACTTTTTAAATCAAGTGTTAAGTTGTTTGACCTAGTCTTGGCGGTTTCCATTTAAATAAATACTTTGTACATTGTATTTGCAAACACCCATAAGGTAGTCTCTTAAAATCATTGAGATTTCAGTTTGTCAATTGTGAAAACAAATATTTTAGTGATATACCTGTAATGACATCCATGAAGGGGTAGTCAACTCTACAATGATGTCCGCTCCTGTGTGTAGCTGATTGTCTTAAAGACACAAGTCTACCATAGATATGCCAAAATGAATAAATGGGGAAGCAGATGCGTTAATGAAAGGCAGTTTGCTTGGCAAAGAATGTAAACAAAAGATTAGATACTTGGATGAATTGATATTTTGTCTTTCAAATTGTGTGAAGGGTTTCATTAATATAAGAAAATATTAGAAACTTGAGACATTTTTCTCAAGTTTCCTTTACTTGTACTAACACAAGTGAGCCGATTCCATCCCCACGGTCTTGTTCCACATTACAATAAACTACAGCACTTTGGCATATGCAATTGGTTTGATGGCAGTACTCAAATTTTAATTTCCCAAATTGCGGTCTGTATCTGGACATCCAAGATATTGCAAGAGTAAAAACCTGAGATGTGTGATTGAAGTTTACAATGCCTCTCCAAATGTTCTCCTTAACCATTATCCACTTGTCTGTGCATAATTTATGCTGTGAATGATTAATTTATGATGTGGGGAAATTACAATCAATCACAGATTCAAGCTCTCAATTTTCCCCCCATCTTTGATGAGAGCACAGATCTGCCAGTATTTCCAGCTTGAAAATTCTACCCATAATTTCATTTCATTGTCTGCTCGTAGTTCATTTATGTATATCCACCTCTACAAACAAATCTTTGTATGCATCTTTAATTATTGAAGGGTGCCCCTCCCCCTAGTGTCAACCTTGTCATTTTACACATTGTATCAATGTATATTGTACTTTTCAGTTGCTAGTATCCTGTATATCATAATTATTTTATAAAGGTCTTCTACAGGTATCTGAAATTGTGCTACTTGTTTTTAATGATGCTCCACTTTCTTCGCCGAAGTTAAACATAAAATGTACGATAATAAGTTTTTTATTGCTTACACATTTTCAGTACAACAAATGTAGGAAAAGCACTATTTGTTGCATTCAGAAGTTGGTACGACTCCGAGCAAGTTCATTGGGTAGACTGTATTCAGACACCACACTTTAGATGGCAATTTCTAGCAAATCATAAATGCTAGACTATTTCCAGCCTTTATCCTGCTTCGCCTTGGCTGGTGGTCAAGTATCCTTGGTTGTGTATGTTACACTCAATTGTACGTAAAATGGTAGTGAGAAACTAGAGGCCTGGTGAATGTGTGTAGATAAGACTATCGTTATAGCAGTACGGGAATGTTATGACATCTAACATCAAGGAGGTGGCACTTGATAGGCTGCACCAATTTGTATATTGATCCTTGAATGAACCACCAGGTCATGTGTCAGCAAATAATATCACTTTATCATATTTAGTTTCATTATTGATGAATGTGCTTGTGTAAATGATGCATATAGCTTTAGTCAAAACAAGCCAAGTCTTTAATGATCAAATACAATTTTTGGTTTATATACGAGTTGCACTTCTAATGGAGCCAATGTTGTACTTGGGTTTTCAAGTTTTTTAAAATGTTTTTGTGCCAGGCAATATTGGATGTCACTTGTCTTTTGGGACTAAATGACAGGGATGTGTAGACATCTATATCAAATGGCAATTTAACTAGTCCTGTTCGTTAATTAACTTGCATCGAGTTTGTATCAATACTTACTTTGTTGCAGTGAAAATGTGACTGGAGGAAGTACTTGTGAGTAATGCGGGGGGGGGGGGGGGATCAATCATTGAAACCAGGCACAAGAATTAAACTAAAATGCGGTACTACTGACTTGCCAGATTAGATTTATTACTGTCCAGTAAGAATTGTGGGTAATTGAAAAATACAGGCCTTGGCAAGTTGATTACTCCGACATTATCACTTGTTCATAAAACCAGTTCATAGGAGTGATATCATCCAGTATTATCCATGAAGTGAAGGCAATTGCATAATATAGCAAAAAACTCCACGAGTGTGAAATCTGAACAGTGGGCTGTTGCCATCGTGGCCTGCCAATAAGTTAAATAGGACATTTCATTGAATAGAACAATAAATTTGCTTTGATGGAGAAAATATACGTGTACAGGAAGACAAATTGAAAGGAAAATTGGAGTTTGTAGTTTTACATTTTGTAAACTTTATATGTACCAGAGAGGATTTAAAATACACCATTGTATACAAGGTATGTTAAACCAGCTTTACACGCTGAAGTACAAAACCTGCCAAAGTAAGCATTGTATCATGTGATCAATAATTCATGAAGAAATTTGATTCAGACAAACTCGTAAACTGAAATGGCGACATTTATTTAAAACTGTAGCAATGATATGATGTATATATATGACTTATGTTTACAAAAGCTGTTCTGGGAATAAACTTTCTTGGGATTCTTAACAAATTACCAAAAATTACAGCGAAGTAAAAGCAGTTTGGTTGAAAATGTCACAATTTTCACACATTCTTGTTTCCTATCTTTCATACACTGTAAGACTCTCTTATGATTGTGACAAATGCTATTCTCACAGACGGACCGGAACAGGAAGTCAATAGAAGACAAAAGATTTTTTCGTTAGTTTGGGGAAATTTGGTGAGCTTAGGGGAAAACAGGTGTTAATCCGAAAATTCATTGTCTTTTCCTGTTTGTGGGATCGTGACGTAGCTCAGACTATGAGAATACTGTAATTATTTATCCAACTCGATCATTGTAGTATTTCACTTGGCTTCATGCATTGTACAAGTCACATAGCATGTTGGGGGCATGGACTAAACAGCCAAACATTTTCAATCGATTTGTGATCGTCGCCAAATAAATCAATAATAGACAACAAAGAACGACTGTCTCTGATTCAACATAAATTAATGATCAAAACTCATTTGGTCCAAAAACAAATAAAATTCACTTACAACAAATGTACGATATTTCAGATATAAATCTGTTCTGATGGAAAAACGCATATTTTAGATTCAATGACTGTAAAACTCTTTGAAATATCTAGGATATCTAACAATACATTTTATTACATATGTACTGTGGAATTAATAGTTCATCAAAAGCATTGGTATTGACTGCAAAAATATAAAATGGTCCCTTATAAAGTTTAGCTTTCTTGGCAGTTGATACATTTGCTGTGATACGGTGTTTCCATGCAGTATTTCACTTGTTTTGTTTGTGAAAATATGGCTGTAGGATACACTGCATCACTCATAAAAATAACTTCCATAAACATCAGGCAAGGCCATGGTGTTCTATTACGTTATCATGCCCTCTATAGACTAGCATACAGTCCCTTGTTTATTTGTTTTTTCAATAAAATAAAATGTTACGGAAGTGTATGAATGGCGAAAGATGAGGCCATGCATGGTGATC